CGCTTGTTTTCATGAAACGCGTGTAAAACAAATGAGGTATCGCCATTGTGTGGAACTTGAGGCTGGATATCGTGAAATGCGCATCCCATTATTGTAACCCATGAGAATTGTGACTGTTATTAGTTCCCCAGATATAAACGTTTCGCAACGCCTTTGATTTCCCGGGCCATCAAACATATATATACATACATATATCAACGTGCGCGGAATAGTCGTGCGCACCTTGGTCACTAAGGAGGCCATACACGCACATAGACATCGGAATTTTTTGAGTGTTCAAAACACTAAGCGAGTTCTGTTATACATGGAATGAAAGTGTCGCTATGACAACTGTATGGAAATGCCTCCGAGTCGTGCTGCGCTACACGAAATGTGGGCGTGTCACACGCTAAGCGCTATGCATAGCGCTTTCTGAGCTGGTGTAATATATCAAGGATTTACGAAAATCACATGCGACTTCTTTATACTGAAAAATATGCTTTTTTTTGTCAAATATATCGTGTGTTTTTTAATTAAAATATTTCGGTTTATTCGCTTTCTATGTTATATAAGTCTGTACGAGCGCAGTGGCATGCGACGATCATACGGGCGAGTACGCAGTCTGCATCAAAGAAGTACTAGTATATTACGTGTATACTGTTAACTGTCTAAAAGGCAGTTGGACGATGACTTTATTGTCAAATTCGTTCGTTTGTTAGTGTTTATCACACAGAAACATCTACCGGAGGAGGGGCTATATTTTCAAAACAATACTGTTATTCGGGCTATTATTATTCCCGATTTGTAAATAACTTGAAGATGAAATTGATTGTTGCGCAAACGGGCGTGCGCAAAGGAATAACGATGTATTGTCAACATGGCGACGTTTTGATCGACGGAGCGTATTTTTCTTTGAAACCTTCGAGAAAGTAACTATTCGCCATGAATACGTCGGATTCGATGGATTTGAAGAGCCTGTCGTCGGCGAGCGGCATCGGCGAAGGTAGCCGCGAACGACTAGTGGACTCTTACAAGAAGAGAGCGCCGAGATCATGTTTCGTGATTGTCTTGACACTTTTCTCTGCCATCGGTGGCTTTCTGTTCGGTTACGATACCGGTGTCATATCGGGAGCTATGATATTGTTGAGACACAATTTCCCCGATATGACCTTCTTCTGGCAGGAGTTAATTGTTGCTGTTACCATCGGATCTGCTGCCGTATTTGCGTTTTTGGGTGGTTTTCTTAATGACTGGCTGGGACGTCGACCTGTCATATTCTGCGCTAGCGCCGTCTTCACTGTCGGGGCATTGACTCTCGGAACAGCGCCGGATAAATAGCCCTGGTGATCGGAAAGGTCATCGTGGGTATTGGAAATGGTAATATAACTTTTTGTTGTTAAATTTAAATAAGTGTTAAAATAATCTTCGAAAACGCGATTTTTGGAAATCATAGTCTTACTTCTTCAATCTTGGAACGATGCAGAAAGCGGTACGTAATATTTACGAGTAGTATATAACCCATGTCAGTTTATTAGATTAAAATTTTAAAAAGCAACCGAATATAATTAATTAAAGTTTACCCCTAAATTAGCTCTATCAATAAATCAAATCTAATTATTATGTCTTGAATATAATAAATAATATAATTATCTTGTCAATATAAATAAATCTGTAATCTAATTAGTCTGTTAATTAAGTAATTATTGAATCAGTTGTAATTCAAAAGATTTTTAAATTAAAAACGTTAATTGCTAGGTTGTAGACTACTAATTATCAATAAAATAGTTACTGACATGTTTCATTTCATGACACACTGGAGTCTGTCAATAAGACAGCTCAGAAACATATTCACTTTCTTGTAAAATAGCCATTAAAACCGACATTGCATTCAATGGTGAGTGCATGAAAACGGTAATTTGATGTTTGAATAATGAGTAACCTTGTCAGTGATAATTCATTGTGATGTAATGTGTATTCATGTACTGTGGCTTCTGTCATTCATGGTGTTGATAAGTTTAAGGGGCACCTCCATTTAAGTCTAATCTCACAACAAATTTGCTTTCTGGATTAAAATTACAATGGATAACACAAGATAGATCAACATTGTAAACAACATAAACAATAGTGTCCCATGATTCCTTGGTGCAATCTCTGGGTTTGGCAGGTTCCCCTTTGACCACAAAGAAATGATAACAGTGGTTTATATATATGTGGGAAGGTATTCGTTCATTGCTGTGTCTTTAATATATAGCATAAAACACTTGTTGAAATATACTAAATTATTCTGACATATTCATTTGTCTCAGGAATTGATTCCATGTGGCAGTGTTGTAATAAACTACAAGCTAGGATTACCGCACTTGAACTTGGAATTAACTCCTGAGTGCCAAAATCAACTTATGTCTTCTTTCACGTAAATAAAACACATAACATTTTTTGAATATTTTTTTTCTAAAACTTTGACCAAGACCTGAAGCTAATAAGAAACTATGTACATTAGGTCTAAAACTATCATCAAAAATAGGCTAAATTTTGTACAAAAATATTTGTGGCAAAATTGGTGGTGCTCAAAGGGTTATCAAAGGGCGGTGGTCGCTGCGCAGCGCATGTTCAAATTTCATGTAAACGTACAATATATTTTACACATGTCATATGTTGATATGAGTACCGTATCAAACAGGACGTGGCACGATGATCAGCACCCTTTAATATCGAATCTATTATTACACAGTTCTTAATTCATTATTGTTATGTAATATATCATAAATGTATGTACTTATCATTTTAAATTAGTTTTATGTCAGTTAATAATGCAGAAGATAGAATTAAACTTAGCTTCTAAATGTCGCATGATATATTTAATGAATAATTGAACATTTTTTATCTGAAGTGTTAAAATATTTTTTTTTAGCTCTTTCTCGCTTACTATCTTTCTTCGAGTGCTCAACTGCTAAAAAATTATGGTAAATTCAGTATATCTGTTCATTACCAATTTTAATGTCACATCGATGATGTCATGTGATGTGCAAATATGGGCATTGGTATATTACAATAGTGATGTTAGTCATAACCAATGTTCTGAATTCATGCTCCCTTTGGTCAAATTACATTTGTCATTTTACATAAACTGTGTATTCAGGCTTTGTTGTAGGAATAACTTACAATAATATAAATATGTCACCGTAACCCCATACGTTATAGAGTGCCGTAACTTTACGCTATTGCACTGGGTATTTTCATCCTACCATATTAGGAAATGCGAATTCCAAATATGGAACGATTTTGCGCATGAGTGTCCTCTAATAATAAAACAAACATGGCAGCTCCCAGGGTTTGACCGGACTCCATTCAAAGAAGTTTGCTCAATCTGTTCTAAACTTTTTTTGTGTATCAGCATTCCAATGATGTATCCTCGGTCGATACTCCCACTGAACTTCATGCATACTTTTTGGTATCCTTGTAATAACCTTATAATGATACCAATTTGAGGTACAAGTCTTGGGGGGGGAAAAAAGTGTATAATAAAAGATGCTCACTTGTTTGTGGAGGTATTAGTACAAAATAAGTTATACAAGACATGAAAATCACCTTGCTTTGATCACCTACTACTGTGAATACATTAATTATTCACTGGGTTTTAATTTCGCTATTTTCCCTGATAATTAAAATCTGCTAAATTAAATCTGTGTGAACATGTAAAAGAATAATAAAACTCATTGTTTCCTTGACAAATTCATGGAATTAAAACACAGTGAATATGCTCAAAAAATCAAAATAATGAAATTAAATGTCAGTGAAAATAAATGGTTTCACAGTGTCTGCTTTCATCTTGTCCAGGGTATTCAGCATACCTTTATATTACCGGTAATTATTTATTCAGTTTTAAACATAATTATCCTTGCAAATGTATATCATTTAAAATTATATTAAATTATCATTATTATTAACATAAATACATTATTGTGAATATATTTATGAATATATGAATATTCATACTAGATAATATTGACACTAATTAAAAATTGGTATTTTTGAAAAAATAAAAGGAATAAAATAGAAAACATTTTTTTGACATCCATGTTTTGTTTTCATGCCGAAAATAATATTAGATATGATATACTATACATCAAAAAAAATAGACTTTCCCAATTTGTGAAATGTGTATTTGCATTTAATTGAAACGTATTTGCACTTGTCCCAACATTTGAAATTTCCTTTTACTTTGGGTAAACTACATTGAACATGTTACAGACTATTGACGTCACGTTCAAACTCGTTTCTGTTGTTTAATTGGATGCTGCAAGCAATATAAGTTCATGACAGAAATAGAATCACAGAGCCCCTTCCTACGTCAGATTTTAATCAGATTGATATTTCACAATGCTATGCAATGGCTTATTATCGAAATATCTACTGTAGGATTAGAGATTTGTGGTCTGGAGTAAACTTATAATTGGTGAAATCCTGATTTATCAATATAATTTGTCAGCTCCTAGATAGTTTGAAAAAAAGATTCCCTTGAAGATCACCGAGCAGGTGCCAACTGAAATCATGCATCTATCTATCGACGTCTGGAATTAGATTTGCAGCACACCTATGGCTTCATCAATGTTGCAACCGTAGTATGACGGTTACCATGGAGATGATTAGTGGGATTTCTTTTTATCAAATTTACAAAGTCATAATGTGCTTGTGGCGTCTATATGTCCTTGAGGCTAAAACTGATGATGGTTTTTCATATACGGTATACTCTTTATGTTAGTATGCTAGAGTGAACAGGAGATTCATTGTATGTGTTAATTACTCTGTGTGGAGAGGTGACTCTTCTCCAGTGATGTGCATGAAACGAATTTGATAAGAGAGTGGGGATATTACAAGGATTAAAATATTCTAAATATTTAATACCAGATTTTTTATCATGATAATATACTTCCTTTGTGAGATATGAGACTCTCTCACATTTAATATGCAAATTAATATAATTTCAGTCAATTTGTGTCGCCATAATAAATTACAACCCACGCGAATGAGAATGTGGCAGCATTTCATTTTGTTAAGGTTTAATTATCATCGAACAGAAATGCTTCTTTTTTTTTTTTTTCTGTGCCGGATGTTACGATTCATTAAATGAAAGAAATATCAAGATTATTAAAAGTGACAAGCATGTGGACACAAAGAATGACTTTCGGGATTAAATGTGTGGGCAATGAAGGAGAAGTTGAGTTTCAATCTGACAGATCATTTTCAAATCATTAAGCCTCCGCTCTGCATTAAACTTGCAGTACAGGAATGGTGTTTTACGAATGAGGGTTCATGATTCATGGAGTTGATAATGAAATTGAGATAATTCATTCTTTATAGAAATTATTATTTGAACATCTCTGGTTTTTCCAAGTGTGTCATCTCATTTCCAAACTTCTATGAATTAGAGACCCCAAGACCTGTTTTAAGTGGCTTTTCAGAAGAAATTGCATTTTATTATTTGGCTATTGAGATTTATAAATTTCAATTAGAGAACAGAAATGTGTTTTTTTTTATACTGAAAAGATGATGATTTTGTAGTAATCTTTTGGCACTGTAACTTGGACGTTAATGAATCAATCACATTAGGCAATAATATATCATGTGTTGTATATACTCTATCATCATCACCTTGGGATTGCTGATCAGAAGCTGTTGTCTGTTTCACTCAACTAACTGACAAATCTGAGTTTTTGGATTTGCTTTTTTTCGGGTATACACAATAAAGTTTTACGTGTCTTTTTCGAATAGCCTAGGAGCATAAAATGATTCTCCTAAACGAGGTAACTTGATTGACATAGGGGAGCTATATACGTTATCTTTTTGCAAAGGTATAGATTAGGAGTGCAATAATTAGCCCTTCTGGGGGTTGATTGGGTGAGTGATAGGTGAGTGAAGTGATCATTATTCTTTGAAAGTAAGGTCTGGCGTTTAATGGGTAACATCAAGCCAATGGAAAAATATGAAAAAATCTGTTGATGAATACTGTATAAGTCTTAATCAACCACTGGGTTTTATTATCACTTAATTCACTAATAGCGCAATGCACTATAATTAAAATGAAAATGCAACAAATTATTAAATTGAAAAAGATAATGTATGGTTTCCTTTGCAAACCAGCGAATTTAAATATCACTGCAACTTCCAATCAAATGCAGTGCATATATTTTCTTCTCCAGTGATAATTATATGTAAAAAAACATACTCTTTGCTTACCGATATTTCTGTGAACACAGGCACCATTACACACATAATATGTACTGTCACTTAATTGTTTATGGACGTTCAAATGATGACATGTTTTCAGAGCAGACACTGAATTCACAGTTTGATCATGGATTTCATTTGTATATCAT